TGATCAATTCTCTCAATGTTCTTTTTTGTTTCTTTGTTTGTTTTTTTGCGGTATGCGGGCCTCTCACTGTTGTGGCCTCTCCCATTGCGGAGCACAGTCTCCGGACACGCAGGCTCAGCAGCCATGGCTCACAGGCCTAGCTGCTCTGCGACATGTGGGATCTTATCCTTTAAAAAGTGAGAATGTTGTGTCTCGGCATTACTAATGTTTCATTGTTTGTCTTTATTCAAGTTAAAGCTATTTGGGATTGTATTATTTAAGAAATTAAGATAATTAAATCATTGGTGATGAGGTCACTCTGTAGTTATCTTTGGGGAATTAGCTTCAAAACAATTCTGTTGTGTAAATATGATTGCTTGGAGACAGTTTAAGTATCGATGTACAAACAGTTTACATACTAATTGTAAATAATATTTAGTCATCAAAAGCACTGTCCAAAGCAAGTTTTCTTAATAACTTTGTTTGCTTACAGATAATTTATGCATTCCTTGGTTGTTGGTAAATTTCAGTCAGATTTAGGAGTACCTTTAAATGTTAGTTATGCTTTTCAAGCATCTGCCCCCTAATTAGCCTCAAATATTAATTTTTTTACAGTATGTATAATTTATTACTGTGAAATAATTTTGAAAAGATTATTTTTAAAGAAAATAGGAAAACACACATAAGAAATAGATGAGAGTTTTCTCTTGGGGGGAGAGGGGAACATTATAATTAACCTTGTTAATGTTGTATAAAACTTACTAATGTATCAACTTAGATTACTCAGAAAATCAGGCAGAAAGGTAAAATTGCCCCTCTCATTACTTAAGGATTTCTCTATTGATGCTATCAGATAACTCAGCTGAACATGATGAATGGCAGTATCTTTGGAGCAGCTGGATTTTGTCAGCCTGAGCTCTTCCTATCCTTTTCTTACTCTTATCCTTGACTGTTCTACCCTGATCCCCATATGTTCTAATCTATTTACTTGTTACCATATTATCAAATTTCAATATTTTTGAAGCACCATTGTAGAGGTAGTATAAAAAAATATTAAAAAATTATCTTCCTTTCCTCAGGCGTGTTTGTAATTTGACATTTTTATGCCCGCAATTTTTGTTCATTTATCCCATCTGTTCTTTTTTTTCCCCTTTTCCTGCCTTCTTTTGGATTAGTCGAGTATATTTTGGTATTCTAGTTTATCTCCCCTATTTTCTTCATAGCTAAACCTCTTGGTTTTTCTTTTGAAAAAAATACTTGCTCTAGGATTTATAGTACACACACTTAACTTACAATTTACCTTCAAATAATACTATACCACTTTATGTATAATATAAGATTCTTAAAGCAATTTGCATACCTTTGGATGGAGAATTTAGAAACTAAGTTCTGAGTGTTACCTCATGGTGAGCCCCCCTCTGTGGGGAAGGTCTCCTTACCCCTCTTGATCTCTGACATCTCATGCTAGGTGGCTGCCACCACAAACCCCTGTACTGATGTCCCCTCGTCCTTCTGTGCTGTCCCTGTCTCTACCACCCCATGGCTCCCAAACTCTACACTGCCTTTTCTCTGTCCCTTGTGGTGTTGCCCTTCTCACCCTACACCTAGTTATTCCCAGCATGTTGCCCTGAAACCTTTTCTTGTGCATGTGCTTCCAGAAATTCTCTTTCCACGTTCTATCTGACCGTTTCCTTTATGTTAGCTTCTAGTTTTCTATCCTAGTTTATTAACTCCCTCCGTCCATTCTAAATGACCTGACATAGTTGTGATCTCATTGCTGTTCAGGATTATTCCTTGATTCCTTTACCTGGAAGGAATCTTTGTTTTATTTTTGCTTCTCTTCGTGGCATTCTCTATATAGTTGTGATATTTTTTTCTCACTGTATTTTTATTTTTTTATTTTTAAAAAAATTTTTTAAGGTGTTGGGGGTAGGAGTTTATTAATTAATTAATTTATTTTTGCTGTGTTGGGTCTTCGTTTCTGTGTGAGGGCTTTCTCTAGTTGTGGCAAGCGGGGGCCACTCTTCATCGCGGTGCGCGGGCCTCTCACTATCGCGGCCTCTCTTGTTGTGGAGCACAGGCTCCAGACGCGCAGGCTCAGCGGCCATGCTCACGGGCCCAGCCGCTCCGCGGCATGTGGGATCTTCCCAGACTGGGATACGAACCCATGTTCCCTGCATTGGCAGGCGGACTCTCAACCACTGCGCCACCAGGGAAGCCCCTGTATTTTTATTTTTTAAGAATATAATTATTGTTATATTTTAAGAATAAGATTATTTTAGTAATCTATTAAACCATAAACTCATTATAGACACTTAATAAATATTCCTTGAATGAATAAATGAATGATTCAGTGCCTCTATATGTCAGCAAAGAAATTAAGCTGCTGGATATTTGTTTCTGATCTTTCCTGCCTTTGATTTTGTGTGAATCTTTAATTTACTCACAGATGGAAAGTCATCATAGTAGCTCTGCATCTCTTTGTCATTTACATAACTGAATTAATCTATATATAAATTGCTTAGAACAGTTCATGGCACGTAGGAAATACTCAGTAAATGTTAGCACTTATGTTTATGATTACAAAATTTTTAATTTTAATCGTCTTGAATGGATTATTTTTAATGAGATATATATTTCTGAGAGTTGCTACACTGAATGTATTGAGCATCCTTTTTTCCTTCATGAATTAAGTCATTGTGAACATCAGAAATAGTATAAGTCAAATTTGAATCAGTATTCCTTCCCTCTTATTCTCTCTTTCACATCTTGCTACTCACAACAAATTAAGTTGATTTTATCTTTTTAAATAGTTTGTGGCTGTCTTCTCATTTCCATTCCATTGTTTTACCTTAAGCCTGTGCCTCATCATTTCTCACCTTTGCTGTTTTAAGAATTTCATAACTGCCATTCTGGTCTCATATGTTCCTCCCAACCATCCTTTATATGGTGTCTAGAATCATCTTTCTCTAATACACCTATTATCAGTTAACTCCCCTAAGACTCTTCCCATTGCTTACAGGATAAAGTTTAAACTTGTTTTTGACATGCTCCTGGCCTCCCACTTTAAGTAGCCTTACTGTTGCTGCATTCTCTCTGCCCCCTAAGCTCCACCTGTTATAAATTCTTAGATCAGTTCAAACTCAAGTTTGTTAGTCTTGTATATAACTGAAAAAGTCAGTGAACTCTAAAATCTTAAGAGCTCTTCTACCATTAAAGTGCATATCAACACCTGTTTTAGCTCATCAGAGACCTTTTTGATTTATTTCTGGATCCTGATGTATTTCATATTTTTGAGGGTGGTAAATCAACTGCACACTCACCTGAAATGTTACTTTCTTTAGGAACATCCTTGACTCCAAGCAGTTGCTTTTCTATGTTTCAGTGACGCCTAAGCATCCCTCTATCCTAGCACTTGCCATGCTATATAGTATAACAGTTATCTTTGTAATAAGGTGTCTTATCTGAAGCTAACTATTGCCCGTACCAATTTGTAGCATTAGTTGACATTCTGCTAGGGTTTGCCTGTGTGCTTCAATCAGTCCGATTTTTATTCAATTGGTGTATTTTGTTTCGGAAATACTCAAGCTAGTGTCTAGTTATATACTGTAAATTGTTGGGACCCATAATTTGCTTGAGATAGAACATGAATCTTGTTCAAAATAATGTGTGTGTGTGTGTGTGTGTGTGTGTGTGTGTGCGCGTACACGCATGCGTGTGCAGAGAGAGAAGCACACACATACATGTCTAATGGGTTTGGAATTGTGTAGAAGCCAGATGCTGGGAAGAACAGTGAGTGAAAGCCCATAGCCGAGAAAGACATCTGGCATTTTGTACAATAAACTTTATACCAGTATCTGAAGGGAAGAGTTGTGGTTCTCAGGGCAGCATTATTATTATTATTATTATTATTATTATTTTATTTATTTTTTAATCCCATGACTTCTTGTGAGGTGATAACTAGCATGAGAAAGTAGATAGGTGTGTGGTAAAAATGAAAGCCTACCATTTCATACTATACATAATATTTTAGGTACTTAAGAAAAATCTTACTATTCAGAAATGTTGAATGTCCAAAAAAAAGTGTATCTTTAAATCAGTGATAGGTGCTTTATTACTGGGAGTCCAGCCACTTTTATGAGGATTCTTCTGTTGATGGCCAGTTAGTAAAAACTGGTAGATTTTATTACTAGAAGTCCACACCTTTCATTCTTGGTACTCATTCTAAAATAGCTGGACACACAAGGGAAAAGAGATTTCCCATCAACTGGATGAAGTGCTGAGTGGCAGATATCTGAAGGGAGATTCAGACAGAGGCTGAGTGAATAGACACTATGGAGGGTAACAAGGGTCATTGTCATTTTCACAGTGTGATACACTGACTGAGGGTTAGCTTTGTTGGTGGTCCTAAGATTTTTGTCTGCAGGAGTTATCTCCTTTGGCTGGGATAGTGGCTGAGAAGAGCTTGTTCGGCCCTGCAGATCCATAAAGTCAGCATCTACATGGCCAAGTCAAATGAGAGGAGGGAGCTGGAGAGTAGCATTTATTTTGGAAATACTCAGGGACGAAGATAATGTCATTGATTACGTGATTCCCATTCCATTTTCAGGGATTATCATGGAGTCATAAAAAGAATTAGCCCTGAGGTCTTGCTTCTTGTCAGAGAGGGCTGTTGATCTAGTATTAACTGTTCTATCTTCAATGCCTAGCACCATTCCTGATATATAGTAAAATTATGGATGGATGGGTAGACAGATGATGAATGAGATGTTAAACTATCATGTTTAGTCACAGTCACTGTGTTGATGTGTAGTTTTTGGAATACAGAATGGCTTTAATTTTTGAGGCATAAATAATACCCAATAAAAATAAGCATGCTAGAGGAACTGTTTTAGTTAAAAGCTGATTTTTGTCTATTTTTTTCTTCTTTTTCTTTTATGTGTGTATTTTCTCTTTTATTGAAAGACATACATGTGTTTGAGTTTATAAAGACACTGAACAGTTGTTTTCTTTTCATTCAGGGGGCTGAATTAATGAACAAATATGTTGGTGAATCTGAAAGAGCAGTTAGAGAGGTAAGAAGATTATGTCTTAAAGTAGAACTCTGCATAGGAGAACCAGGCTTCTGTCCTGTATGGTTTCCATTTTGTTTGGGGTTATAGATTTTGAAGTTTCCAAATCTAAATTCTAGTGGTATATTTTTTCTTCAGGCAAATATTATTTTTAAATGCAATTTTGGTCATCTACAATTCTTTGTTTTTGCTTTTAAACATCATAATATTTCCAGCCTTTAGTTTTACCAAATATTTTTTAACTAATGTCAGCGTTTCATTAAAAAAAAATAAGGATATATTTAAACTTAACAAAGAATGCATGATGTCAGAATGAAATTTAAATCCTTTAAACCAGGTAGCCCTTTAAATCAGATAAGCTTATTAGTATATGAAAATGTCACTGTACTCTTCTTATTTTACTTTACCTTTGACTGGTGATTTAGAAAGTGCATCTCCTTCCTCTCTTAAATTTTACAGCCAGTGCCTGATTGGCCTACTGGCTAATCCATATTGCTGAAGCTACATAACTGGGAAGTTCATGCAAAATCAAGGCACTGAAGTGGGGGTAACTATAGCAGTTTGATCACAAGTCTCGGCTTCCCAAGCAAAGATTGGCCTGCCTCGCACAGGCACCCCGTATCCTCACAGAAGCTAAGCAAGGACAAAAACACATAAATAGCAGTGGAACGGATGGTCTTCTGCTTATGACACATGTGGGTATCAACCAAGAGTCTTAGAGATTGGAATACTTTGTTTTGCATCTGAGAAAAAAATTTAAGTTACTTTTTCTTTCTTTTTTTTTCTTGAAATGTAGATGTTGGTTATAATATAAAACATTAACTGATAATGATAGCACCTCATTGATTAAAATATGAAAAAGGTAGTGTTTATTACTATTAAGGTTTTGGTGACTGTTGTGTATTCTTATGGTCATCATACTTGTGGCTAGAAAATGGAGGCCTAGGTTACAGGTTACACACATTTGGATTTCTTTCTGCTTATGCTGACGTTTTCTAGCCCATTTCCACATGTTTTCCCGGTGGCTGGCTGGCCAGTCTTTGATGTTGATAGTCTGATTGACTTCAGGTCTAACCTATCTATGCTTTTCCAAGTTTTAGCTGTTTTTTCCATACAGTCTTCAGAGAAATGAGCAAAGTGTGTGACTTTTAGGTTTATGAGTATTTTATATGCTAAACTTTGGCTGATTTTATACATTTATGATTTTTCTTTTAAATATGTATTTTTTTAGATAAATGTTCCAGGCATTATACTAAGTGCTTTGCATTCTTTTTTTTTTTTTTTTTTCGGTACATGGGCCTCTCACTGTTGTGGCCTCTCCCGTTGCGGAGCATAGGCTCCGGACGCGCAGGCTCAGCGGCCATGGCTCACGGGCCCAGCCGCTCCACAGCATGTGGGATCTTCCCGGACTGGGGCACGAACCCGCGTCCCCTGCATCGGCAGGCGGGCTCTCAACCACTGCGCCACCAGGGAAGCCCTGCATTCTTTTTTAATTCATTTCTTAAACTTATGAGGCGGGCATTTTTCATAATCTCCATTTTAGAGGTGTGGAAATCGTAGTTTAGAAAAATAAAGTTACCCACTGAAGGTCACACAGCTACCAAGTGGTGAAGGTGGGATTTTAACTGAGATTGTTTGATTACTTAACCAAATTGTCTCCTACACACCTCTAAGAATATGTGTTGGTGTCTTGTCTCTGTTTGCAAGTAAGCACCGTGGAAGAGGATACTTTTACATCCATTATGAAGTGCGTATACATCTGTTACAGGTTGTATACAAAGTGATTGGGCTGGTTTACTGGTACATAATAGATTTGGTTCTAAATATAATTTTCAAACTAAAACTAGCTATGGAGTTTTCTGGAATTTGCTGATCTTTAGCTAATGTAGCCCTCTTTCCACCAGATCTTCCGAAAAGCGAGAGCAGTGGCTCCTTCCATCATTTTCTTTGATGAACTTGATGCCTTAGCAGTTGAAAGGGGCAGGTAAGAACTATTTAATAGGACTGCTATTAAATATTACCAGTTACAGTGTAGAGGAATTAAATTATTTCACGTCATCACTTTGTAGTACTTTCATGTATAATTTTTTTTTTAAGACTGATATGCATTTGAGGCATTTGAGCTAATTTTTATAGTTTACTATCTAAAGAGAGCCCCCTGCACTGCCTATAAAAATTTGGGTTTTTATTAACATGTGATTAAAACTGTAAATAAAGTTCAGTTAAGCATAATTATGTGATAGAGTAGAATCCAATTATAATAAAAGTTGTTATTATACAGATTTTTGTATTATCTGGATTAAGTCATGTTTCCTAAAATATAGTTACAATAGAATAAAACTATTATTAGTTTTGTTTCTGAATGTCAGACAATAAAGAGGATTATTTATAATATCATATCAAACATATCGTGTGTGTGTGTATATATATATTAAACTGTTTTCAAGTGTGATTTTTTTTTTTTCTGTACAAAGATTTACAGTCTTTTAAGGAATACATGGTACAGGTACTTCATGCTGGAGAGTGTTTCTTTGTGTGTTTTCTTCATAACCCTCTGATTATACATTGACTATAAAAGTTTTGCTGATGATAATTATAGTGATGGCAGAAGGCACCTTCTAAGTCTCAGTGTTAAATTTAATAAGAGGCATACTGCTCTCTTCTTTACCAGGTAGAGCTGCCTAATCAGATGAGAGTATGAACTGTCACTAGGAAACATTGGGAGGTAGCCTGCCCTGCTCTCTACCCCACCCATTTGATACTCTGTAAATACCTACCAATCTTGTTATTTTATGAGTTGGAGTTCATGAGTGCTTTTATTACTTCTGAAGTGAGATGCAACAAAAGGTTGCAAATAGCTCAAGTTCACCTTGACTGCAAGAGAAGAAAAAGAAGCCAGGGAAGTTTACTGAAGTAGGTGATCTGCCACATTTATGTGCCATCAGAGGCGTCTGTTTTTGGAGCCTAGAGAGGGACAGGGTGGGAAACATTGTTAAATATGAACCAAATGGGAGGTGGAATATGTAGCAGAGTTCTCATAAAATGCCTTTGAAAGGTAATGGTGTGAGAAACCAGACAAGGCACTTGGTAGAAATAAACTTTTTGTAGGCAATTTGACTCAGTAGGAATTTGCAAATGTATTAAGAGATGCTAATAATTTGCAGCCTCTAGATATCATTTCCTCTAGTAGTCTTCATCATATTGTGAGCCCTTCCTCAGTGGCTCATTCAAATAAAGTACAGGTAAATTCTGTGTAGTTCCCTTTGCATAGAGAAGTTTCAGTCAAGTTAGTTGACATTTCAGAAAACAAAGATAAGGCTGAACTACCAAATGTAATGTTAATAGTCCAAAGTAGAGAGTTTTAGTTGTACTTTAGCTGCACTAAGTCTTATATAGTTTGGTTTTTATAGCCATAAGAATCTCATAGAATGATATTTTGATTGTTTTTTCCCCATAATTGTGTGATGGGCCAACATTAACCTAGAAAGTTATTGTTTTATCTAGTTAGAGTGCTGTAACCTGAAAACAAAAACAAACAAAAGTTTCACACGTATATTTTTGTTCTGCAGCTATTTGAATTGGACACAGTTTCTAGAAACTGAAAGCACAGCTGTTGATAGATAGCAAAAGTATGAAATTCCGAAAATACTAAACCAACTTTATACATTGTTAAAGAAATATAGGAACATAGGAAACATAGAAACATAGGGAAACATAGAAAAATTAAAAATTCCATAAACTAGAAATTTTCTATATAATTTTGTGCTGTAGAATATTCATTGCTTTCATTTCTTCTGTTTTTCTATGATAACATTCAGATCCAACTCATAATATGACTAGTCCAAAAATGACAGTGCCTAAGACGACTGTTTCTTCTTATCAAGATTTGGATTTCCACACTTAAGATGTTTAACAGATTGAGCCATGACTTATGATATATACTAGTTTGTACTATCCTGTGCATGTTACGTCAATTATTTTGACTACTTGAAGTTACTCAAATTAGCCATGAAAATGAGGATTGCAGTCTGCACATTAAATAGAGTATAGACATACTATTTGCTTAGCTTTAGAAATGTTTGTGCTTTCAGAAAGAGAGATTTTTCATGTTTATAAAAGTGTCTACTTACAACCACTATTTTCTCCTCTTCCCTGCCCCATTTAAGTTCTTTGGGACTTGAAAAATAAGTAAGCCTGATATTTACTTCTCTTTTTCTGTATGCCCATTTAAATTATGGGTGTTCTGAATAAGATTTTTTTGTCTTATTTCATATTGTGAGTTGGATGAAATGTTGTAAGATTCCCTTTGCAAAGTGCTTTAATCTGTAAATATTTGGAAAATTGAAAATGCTGTTAAAGTAGCATAGCTCTTTGGAAAATGGATACTATGGTAGGGAGTAAGGCACTGACGTAGGGAAGAGATTTGAATTACACTGAGCTAATAATATTGGGTAACATTTATTTAGTGCTTATTGTATTCTAGAAACTGTTTTAAGTGCTTTACAGCTGAAAAAAAATTCATAAAAAGGCCCCTGCATTAATGCAAAGTAAGATATTACACAGTTGGTTCTAGTATTCTGCCCTGCCTCCCAGCTAGTTTAAATTTGTACCTTTTTCAGGGTTATAGTGGGGAGGGGAGAGCACGCTGGGCGGTAAATCATCAGTCACTCTTTTCTTAGGCAACACTTCTGTCCCCAGAAGTGAAGAAGGATGGGGTGATTCCCCATATACTGTGTTCTCTTGGCCCGGCCTCCTCTGACTGAGGAAATGGCCACTAGACTAACCTAGAGATTCCTAGAACAACTTCCTCTGTCTAGGACGTTCCAGCTGGTCAGTGGATCTTGGAATCATCCTCACCAGCTGACATTAATGACTTTCCTTAGACAGATGGCCTGATGCAACATTTTACTAGAAATTGGGAGTTATTTTTTGTTGTTATAGGACATATAGGTCATTTGTAGCTATCTTGCTTTTAAAATGAAAATTAGCTTGCATTTTGCATGCACCAAGAAAATTATCATAAGTAGTGCTTGTGTTCAGAGTGTTGATAGTATATGTTTGACTAGTCTTCTTTAGGTCTCTTTCAAGCCTGAATATTGACATTGGGGGTGTGGGGAGTAGATTTTAAGAAACAAATTCAGATGCCTGCCATTTGGGATTCTTTATGACATTTAAAAATTATACTAGAAAAACATTTTAAAATTTGAATTTGATATGAGTTGTTGGCCTGTAATTTAGAAATCATATGAAGAGATGATAGGGGATTTTATTTTATTGCAGGAGCTGAAAGGAAATAAATATCATTTTTGTGAAATGTTTGCTATTGAAAAATAAAATCAATGTAATAATTACCATCATGGTGGTGAGATCTCCTTAAGATAGGGGTTAGCATTCCTTTTCTGAAACAGGCCAGTTAGTAAATATTTTTTGCTTTTTGGGCCATACAGTTTCTATTGCAGCTATTCATCTCTGTTGCTACAGTGCGAAAGTAGCCATAGACAATATGTAATCAAATAAGAAACAGTTGGCTGGCCAGATTTAGACTGGCTATAGGTTCCTGACCTTTTTAAAGATATCATAAAGTCCCTTCAGTCCACAGCACTCTTACTTTTGAACAAGGATAATTTGGAAAAGGGGCTTGACTTCCGAAGGGAAAAGAAAATTAATCTTTTGGAAACGTCTAATTTCAGTACTTTCTATAGCTGAACATTTTTTCCATTGTTGTGTTGCCTATCTCTAGCAGATAATAAAGTTTTGTAAAATCATTTCATTATGTTAGTGATTATACATTTGTTCTTAAACTTGGAGTTGGTTTTGATTTCCTAGGATGTCAGTTTTATGGATTTTGTTTCCTACTGTGGCTTTGAAAGTCAGCCAAGAATATTTCTCAGTCCATAAAACAGTTTCACTATGCTACTCCAGCTAGCTATCAGTGATCTGTGGAAATAAAGGGCAAAGGCAACATGAATAACGGGAATCCAAAGAATTCCCTTCACCTAATCTTCAACATTAATTATAGCCACCAGTTTCTCCTCAACAAGTAGCAAATTAGACCAGTATGAGCTTCACCTCTTTCTGTTTAACGGCACTTGACTAGATCAATACATTTCTGAATACAAGGAAGGGGATATATGTATACAAATAGTTGATTCACTTCATTGTTCAGCAGAAACTAACACAACACTGTAAAGCAATTATACTCCAATTAAAAAAAAATAATGAATTAAATAAGTTACGTGCTCCGTATTACCAACACAGAATTTTTAAACTAGAAAGACCTGTATATATGTCTTACCTAATTTAACTCCCTCATTCATACATGCCAATAATTATGAAATCCTCAAGGGAACGGTAACATCTTCATCCTCTTACCTCAGATGTCCAGTACAGTGCCTAGCAGAGAAGGCACTCTGCTAAAACCCAGACATTTAGTTTTTGAATAAGGGAATGAAGCCTCAGAGAAACTAGAGATTAGGTTCACTCAGCTGGTTGTTAGCAGAGTATGATTTCACCATGTTTTAGTGTCATTTGTGAACTAATTTTATTTTAAAATTAAACACTGAGACTGTCTTTTGGAATTTTGTCACCTGCATTACGTTCATAGAAGCATCAACATCTTCATTATAAAGAATCATTTGTAAGCTTTGGAATACATTCACCTGTCAAAGAGCTCCGAAAAGAATTAAGGAAGTGCTAAGTGATGCGTTTTTCAAAAAAATTCAGTAGTTTTTGTACACACTAACTTTAAAAGTGAGTCTAGAGTCACAAAAGTTTGTCAGTTGTGCTGAGGGTACCGAAATGATAAATGTTCTTTTTAATGTAGCTGATAGCAACAGTATTCAAAGGATAATAGAGGATAGCAATAGTAAAGAAGATCATGCTTATTAGATCAGTGACAAAACATTTTGAAAGACTGTGTACGTCCTTGGTATACTAATTAATTTTGTAGAAAGATCACCGTGTTACCCTCTGCCAGAAGGCCAT